TCCAGGTCTGAGCCTGTGCTTAATTCAGTCATTATATAATCGGCACGAACTCACACACTAATTAGTGTGCTCCAGCAGCCCCCATGTGATATGTATTCAAAGTCCCTGCATTTCAAAATGGCGGCAGGCGTGCTTTAACTAAAGCTTGTGGAATAAGGTTTAGTTAATGTGTCCCAAGTGCCATGTTGAAGCATGGATGCTGAATACATGTGATGCTGTGAGTGCTTTAATTAGAGCAACTTACAGAACACATGTATAAATGTTCCCATCAGTTATTATAGTTTTGTTAGAGCAGGAAAACTGCAGTATAGGATGAAGCACAAGTTTGCACTTTTGAAGTACAGTACTCCTAAGGTTGCATGCTTTAATTGATCTTGCTTTGTGCACAGACAAAGGGCACAACCAATTTAACAGTAACAACACTTAGCAAATGATAGCAGTCTCCAAAATTTCATCAACATCTTTACAAGTTGAATAACTAGCTTGCTTCATCTAAAAGAAAATAACTTCCAGCTTGTATACATGTGTCAGCACAAAAGATGTTATGAGAAGAAATAGTAATAAATACATTAAATTCATGCCAACCAATGGAACCTTCAAAACACACTGGGCTTCTATCTTCAAGCTATGGATTTTCACAACTGAAAGCAGCATAACTTCACCCCTACAGCACTGGTGGTCTAATTGGCAGTGTTAATAAGCCTGCGTATAGCACATGGCAGTTGTAGCCACACTACTTCTGCATAGGGATGGACTGTTAAAATGGTTCTGTTTGCCTATGTGGAACAGCATAGTGTGGTTCACTACAGTGGCAGAATCAAATTACCATTAGCCAAGTACCAAAGTTTGTAGCGGAGTTATGCCTCAAAGTTCAAGTACTTAAAAAAACCTGAAAAATAAATGCATCTTAATTATTGCCATCAGATATACCCTTACCTGCCTACATTTAACCAGTGGCTTTTTTTCATAGTATCTTTTAGGTGCATCACAAGATTTCTTGATTATTAAAGGCACTCCATATTTTGCAGCAGGTTTGGTAATTTTCTGAGCTGGCGCAGCAGAAGCCAAGATTTGTCCTTGGGCTGGTCTTTTTCCTAGGCAAAATGGGATAGAGTTATGAATTGTTTATAAACAGAGTTAAACTTTTATGGAGCTGCCCTTCTTTGACTAGCATGGCATAGAGCTCCATCTCTCTCAAATTACCTGACCTGTGTCATCTGTGTTCTTGCATTTTTGTTTGATAAGGAAAGGAGGGGCCAATTCACCCTTGCTCTTTCTTAATTCTATTAGCCAAGTACCAAAAAAGCATTCTTTTTTCCAACTGAGATGCATCTTTTTTTAAAGAAGTCAGAGAAGGAAAAAGCTTTGCATGTATCCAAGAGCCTCCAAAACAAGTTTTTCTTGTTTGGCACTGAATTAATTTTTTTCCCCACCTCACCATTTAAAATTCTGAAAAATTATTCCAAAGGTTTTCAAACAAGCTAGATAGATTTACTTTGCTCTCTTTATTAGTTAGTAATTAATTACCATATGCCAGACTACTCTTTTGAAATATCAGAACCAAGTCATTTTGACTGATCATAAAATACAATCAATTTTGAAACATGTTAATATTTTACTTCAGACAGCGTGCAAATCTCCATATACCTTCAAGGCTCTTTGGGTTAATATGATACATCTTTTATTAGACCAACTTAAATAGTTGGAAAAAAATTTATAGCCAAAGAACCTTGCTTGCCTATGTCCCAAGACTAAAACAGCTACAACCTTCACCCCTGCATACACCTGCAAACACCCAAGTACACACACACACACACACACACATATACAAGTTTCTTAAACTCTCCATTTGGCACCATGACAAAATTCCAATATCTGCAACTCTTCCACTTTAGAATCTTCTGCATAAATCGTGGAAACGAAACAATTCTTATCCAAAGTTTCTTAGTAGTTTCTCTCCTTATTCTTAAGGACTAAGTAATGCTTCTCATTTGTGGATTCCAGAAGTGAACCAATATCCTTTCTGAAAAATAAAATCCTTTTCTAAAGCTACAAAAGATGTTCCACTAACTTATAAAAACAGCAAACTTGAAGTTATATTGTCTTGTTTTAAATAAAAAAGTTTCAGTTCATTACAAAATTCATTCCTGTCCCTTACCAGATGGGGGGAGGGAGTTAAATGAGGGAAGCAGCTAGCAAAATGAGAATTTTCTTACAGAATGATTTTTTATTATGCTGCACAGCTTCTTGCCTCATCAGAGCAACTGGAAGTAATGAGCACTAATTAGTGGCAGTTGAGGGAAGCGATGAAAAGCAGTAATTGTAATTACAATGGTGTAATATGGAAAATAGAATAAAAAAATACTCTATAAGGAAGTTAAGGCAGTAAGCTCTATTTTAAGAAATGTATTTGGAAACTAACCCAACAGCATCCTATCAAAAATATCCCTGCAGAGAAATTGAAGCTTAAATCTTCTTTAAAATGAGACCAACCCTTTCCTCCTGCACTCTGGGAACAAAATTTCACATCCTCTATGAATGCTCACCCAGACGGCTGGCAAGTCAATTGGTGCAAAACTCTGACACTTTGTCAGTGGTAATTTCAAAATCAAGTCACCATTAGAGTAACCACTTATTTCTTGCATTTTAACATGAACTCCCTTGAAAGACAACAGATTGTTTTTTGTCTATTACATTAAAAAAGCAAACCTTCAATTTCTTGTTATTCACTAAAGCTGGAAGACAGAAACATCTGTGCATCATGGCATATCCTCAGGATTCATTTCTAGATTCATATCAGGCAAAATGCCATTTGAGGGAAAATACCAATGCATGACGCTAGTCAACTTTAGTTGCTAGAGACAGCCAGCTAGGACTGGTTCCAGAAATGACTAATGCAAAGAAATGTAGATCTTCACCAATCTTTACTTTGGTTGTAAAGCCATAACCAAACCCATGCTTATTTGGACCACAGGGTCAAAAAAGTTCTCAAAAGCTCTTGGTTATAAACAATTGGCACCTTTTTAGCAGTTGACAAGCTACAAGTAGATTTGTTTGACTGGGCACAGCATAGATCTGATGTTACCCATAAACAGGTATATTTTGGGGCTAGACTGCACTATACCTAACCTTAGATGACTGGTAATAAAGTGCAGACCAAAAAGGAAGAGTTTTGTATAGGAAGCCCTTACACACAAATGTCGATTTTGTTTTCATGCTGAGAACTGCTAAATGTAGGATGAAAAAAAAAAATGATCTAGGTCTTCTTCACAAGCTTCTGTTCCTGATTATTTCCCCTCTGCTAAGAAATAAAAGTAAAAAAAGCCATTTTGAATAAGGAGAAGGATTTCTGCCATCATGGAGTACTTAGGTGACTCTCTCCTAGGTACAGACAAAATAAAATACACACTAAAGTATAAGGAAGGATCAGTCTACTGAAGTGGGGTGGGAGTGAAGCAGAAACAGAACACTTTCCACCCTGGCAGAGAAGTTTCATAGGATGAAACCAAAACAGACAGTTTCCATTAAACTGCTTCCTGAGATGCATCTCTTCATGTCTAGAAATACCATGGTATGGGAGTGAAACAGCGAGTCCAATACAGTCCACTGCAAGAAAAAAAAAGTCTCAGCCAATACAAGAGATGAAGGGAGGAAGGAAGAATGGACAAATGTTAAAATAATGATTTTTACACCCCTTGCTCACTAACTGTAACCAGCTGGGATGTATTACCTCCTTGGAAATCCTTATGCTCCTGGTCATACCTTCTTAAAGAAGAAATGCAAGTTGTAATGGATTAACCTGTACCTCCAGCATCCTTACGATGCAAAGCTCCAAGTCCCAGTAGAGCAAGACTCAAGCAGCATGAAGTGGTCAGGCACAGACTTTGGGGATCCCAAAAAGATTATAGCATCCCTTAGGCTTGATTTGTTGCAATACTTCCCTAGCATAGAGAAATGTACTCAAGTGCTGCTGTACCAAAAATCCTAGTAAGAATTTTTAAAAAAAGTTTAAAAGCAAACAACGCTTGGAAGAAGACAGTTAACCCAGTTTAACATCAGACAGGCAGAAGTTCTTGTGGCCTGAGCTGAACAATAGGGCTTGTTACTGAAACCTCCAAAAACAATATTGGATCACTACCAAATTCTGCAGATGAAATGAGGAAAGAGCCTGTATAGTAAAAAATACTAATTATCCCACCACTGATACCCATTATCAGCAATCAGTGATATGGGTTTTTATCCAACTGTTCCTTCCCCCTCACCCCCCAAAAGAAGAAAGTAAACTTTAAGGCTATGTACAGACAGTCAAAAAGCCTGAGGCTGAATCGATTCAATCTTCACTCATTAAAAAACTAGGCGACTGTGGCATTGATGCCTACACAGTCAGATGGATTGCAGATTGGCTCAAGGGTCATACTCAGAGGGTGGTGGTGGACAGGTCATATTCGACCTGGGGGGGAAGTGGGCAGCGGAGTCCCCCAGGGCTCGGTCCTGGGGCCTGCGCTGTTCAATTTCTTCATCAGCGATTTGAACGACGGGGTGAAATGCAACCTGTTTAAATTCGTTGATGATACCAAAATTTGGGGCGAGGTGAGCACGCTAGTAGGGAGGGAAAGACTGCAACAAGACCTGGATAGGTTACAGGAGTGGGCTGACATAAACAGGATGCATTTCAATACTGACAAGTGCAGGGTGCTGCACTTAGGCAGTAGAAACCAGCAGCACACTTCTTGAGAGCACGGAGGCAGAAAGGGATCTTGGAGTCATTACTGACTCCAAGATGAACATGGGCCGACAATACGAGGTCGTGCATCCACAGGTGCATCTCAAGTAGAGCCAGGGAGGTGATCCTCCCCCTCTGTGTGACGC